CCATATACAGATATATATCTATATAGATATATATATAGATATATATAGATGTATACATATCCTATACAATAAAACCCTGACATGCCAAGTGTCCCATCATCCGTTCAACCAATCAAAGCATAATATGCTAATGATATGCTAAGGCTGCTCAACCATTCACTATGACGTGCACTGACCACCAGGGTCAGATAGTAGACCAGTCGACTATTTGCTATGACGTGCACTGACCACCAGTAGTTTGCTGCTGGGGTCCGGCCGATTGGGAACGAGCAAGATGGGCTGGACATGCCCTGGAGCCCTCCCGCAGTCCCTCCCCAGCTGACCAACCTCCTGTGTCCCTCCCCGGCCCCTATCATGCGCCAGTGGGTCCCTCAGTCTGGCCTGCGCCCTCTCGCATTCTGGGACCCCTCAGGGAATGTCAGAGAACTGGTTTCGGCCTGATGGCAGAACGACCAGCCACTATGGTGCAAACTGACCACCAGAGGGCAGACACTCAATGCAGAAGGTGAGTACACTCCTACAGGGGGAGCACCGCTCAGCCAGAAGCCAGGCTCATGGCTGGTGAGAACAGCAGCAGTGGCAGGAGCCTGTCCCACCTCCGTGGCAGCACTAAGGACCCCTCGGGGGATGTCCAACTGCCGGCTTAAGCCTGCTCCCTGGTAGCCAGACATCCCCCGAGGGCTCCCAGACTGCAAGAGGATGCAGGCCAGGCTGAGGGCCCCCCCCACGACACACACACACACACACACACACACACACTGCACAAATTTCATGCACTGGGTCTTTAGTATATTATATAGATTGGTGGCTTGGACCTGGGATATTAGGAATGTTTGGGCTGTTGACAAAGTATATAACAAGGCTAAAGGGGAAAAATATATAATTGAGGCTTACTGTTAGAGTTTTAGTTAGATTACTGAGTAGATAGTCGTGCCATTTACCTAGAAGGAAAGACTAAGGAAGATCAAATTTGGGAAAGAATTGGTTTCTGTTTATATTCCATCCTATGAATAATTTAGAAACTCACCCTGACAATCCAGGAAAACTGTAGTTGAATATTATCTATATGGAGATAAAGATTTCACCCTAAAAAAAGTGAGTTAATTTCAGAGAAGTAAAGAAAAGCATCCAATATCGTTCCATTGCACTTCCTGGTTTGCACTTTTTATTTTGGAAATTGTCATTTTTTTAAATGCTGTAAGAATTTTTTTTATTAAAATTGGAGGATAATATGAGAAAACAAACCTATTTGGTAAATACAATAGATTGGTTTTAATACATATTCCTTCCTTCCGGTGTGCTTTACTGCACATGGAAAGCTAATAATTATGTTTAGTGGACTCACTTGCACTACAGAAAGTATTCTGGATATAATATAGTTTTGGCCACTTTTTGAAGATGGAAGTTAGATGGAGGCTGCTTTTTCTCTTTTTAGCTATGGGTACCTATCCATCCAGTTAGTTAGTTAGTTATATTAGTAATTTTTTAAATCATTCATTTATTTGTTCATTAACCCAGGCATCTCTTTGGTATTTTTTTAATTGATTTCAGGGAGAGGAAGGGAAAGGGAGAGAGAGGTAGAAACATCAGTGATGAGAGAGAGTCATTGATCCACTGCCGCCTGCATGCCCACTACTGGGGATTGAGACTGCAACCTGGACATATGCCCTGACCAGGAATTGAACCGTGACCTCCTGGTTCATGGGTTGATGCTCAACCACTGAACCACACTGGCCAGGCTCCCTATCCATTTTTTGTTTTTTGTTAGTGCGGCATGTATTTGAAGCCAGCACTTTCATTGATTGTAGCCACTTTTCACACGTTCCTTACTATGCAGAGTAGAAACATACCAGTGGGAAATTGGAACAAGCCATTTAGCAATAACAGTAAACTGTCATCAAAGAGGTAGAGCTGTGGGCCTTTGGGACTCTCCTCTGAGCTGACATTCAAGGGAAGAGTTCCTGTCTTTATAAAACTGCCATGGACAAGGCAGGAACAACAGTAGAAAAAAACCCTGTAAGGGGAACTAGCTCTGAGATTCAGGACCAATCCTATCTAATAAAAGAGAGACATGGTAATTGGTGTACAATCGCTACCCTTCCCATTGGCTAATCAGGGCAATATGCAAATTAACTGAGAGCCAAGATGGCGGCCGGCAGCCAGGCAACTGGAGGCTAACATGAGGCTTGCTTGCTTTAGTGACAGAGGAAGCCAAGCTTCCCCGCCTGCCTTGCTGGCCTCTGAGCTGCACTCTAAGCAACATTGTAACAAATATAGAAGAT